AATTAGACTTCTCATTTCTTGTAAGTATGATATTACTTACAAGAAAATCAAAAATTACAAAAGATACGAATATTAAGTTGATTCATGCCACAGTTTCAGGTACTATCAACCCACAATTGGTTCTGTTTTATCTCCCAAAAAAAAAAAAAATTAAAATACTTTTTAACAAATACAAATGTAAGTACCGATGTTTCCGTTCGATTTAAAGTATACAGTCAAAATTTATTGTTTCGAACGTCTAAAAATAGCAAATAAACTGCAGGAAAATCTAAACAAAACAATAACAAATCAAGAAAAAGCTGCATTAACAATTGAATTTTGAATAAAAAATTACAATAAATGTTAAAATTAAAAAATTATTTATTTTATTCAATTATTTTTTTTTCGATATAAGAGTGGTATGTTGAGCCTTTTCCGAGTTAGTGCATCTGGGCACTTTTACTCTATAATGGCTGAGGGGTTTCTGCAGAGTCTCACCCATCTCACTGACTAATTTGAGTGTTCCTCATAGTCTTCGTGATTATTCAATGATTGATCTAAGATCTCCGTACCGCCCCGTGCGGTTAGTGATTACTCTGAGATTAGATAGTGTTAAGTAGGGCAGCCTGTTGGTTTTTCGCTTCAGAGCTCTGTCCCTTATGTAAGTGTGTATGCTGTAGAAATGCACTAACTTTTAAGAATAACTTTATAATTTTTTTTCCTTTATTCGGTGTCCTCTCCGAATTATTGGTAGAACATTCAGTGTACAAAGGTCTCTAGGTCTAAAGTTGTGAGCTACAACAACATACAGTTGTTTCGAGTATTTCCAAAAACCCATAATCAGTGGTCTTAGAAATAATTCTTGTATTTAATTATTCGTAAATAATTTTTTGAGACTGCAAGTACCAGGAATCAAACTCATGGCCTGCCAAATTTGAAGCTCACAGTCAGCGCTCCTTAACCAACTAACCCAAAGCCATACTTGACTTTTATTTTATTTTAGCTCTGAACTCAATTCTCTATTGCTTTTTCTTATGCTGATTCCAAATTTTCTTTAACATCGCAATCAAGTCACAGTGCCTTCCTAAAAGTAGCAATTTTAATTTCGTCAAAAAAAAAAAACTACAGGCGACCATATTAGGTGAATTCGATGTTTGATCCACTACACTCTGACTTTTTTGCTAAAACCCGATATTTTTCAGACATATTTTTTAAATTATAAATTCCGGATACTTTTTATACAAAATATATATGAACTTTTTTGTTTTTTAAATATATTTGTATTTCAATTTTTAGGAAAATAATATTTAAACAAAAAATCAAATATATTACCTTTTACGTACAAAAAAAAAGTAAAAAGATATTACCTTTTACGTACATTTTAGAAATCATACATTAAGGACACTTTATACCCAACTATAAAATTTTGCAGCCAATTCAAATTTCATAAATTGCTGATTATAGACTCGAATCTCTTTACCGAAATCAAATTTCAGGAACTGATTTCGGCTATTTGCAGTTTCGAGTATGTTAAGGTAATACTCGAAAAATGTTCATATGTCGTATTTCTCTCTTCATTCCTCTAAAATTAAATGCTTACATATTATCATATTCTGCTCAAACACCTTATTGCTAATTACAGTCATAAATACTGTTACAGTGTGAACAGAAATTAAATCTATCTACCAGGATCGAGATTGACTTTTACCTTACGAAT